GTTGTGGACAGAAAAACAAAAACCCTTGCAAGAATAGCACATTTGTGGGACAGCTAGGTGACTCAGTGGATAGAGCACCGGCCCTGAAGTCAGGAGGACCTGAGTTCAAATGCGGCCTCAGACCAAACACTTGATACTTACTAGCTGTGTGACCCTGGGCAAGTCACTTAACCCCAATTGCCTAAAAGCAAAAAAAAAAAAAAAGAATGGCACGTTTGTGGTCAAGTTGGAGAGGGTAGCACTTTAGAGAGAAGAAGAGAGAAGGAGAGAGAAAGAAAGGAAAGGCAAGATTACACAGGCTTATGTCATTAATTTCTGGCCTTTTTATGTTGGCTCTTCCAAGTTGGTTTGTTGGTTTTTTTTCCCCATTAGATCTGTATAGTTTGGTTAATTAACCAGGAATTTAGTTTTGTATTTAGCTAAACTACAATAATTATACAATTAACAATTTTTTCTTCAGTGATGTTTATTTTCTTGTCTTTGTGCCTTTAAAAAAAGTACTTCCAATCTTTTTGGCTGTTGTGTTAAGGAATTTGTCCAGAGCTTAGTGAGTGTGGTGATATGTAGTACCTCCCCCAACCTCAAACCACCATTTGCCTCCCACCTAGGCCCCAGAAAAATCCAAAAACAAATAAATACTACAAAGAATACATTAGGAGTATGCCATTTTACCCTTTACTAGTTATTGTGAGATTGTTGTGTAAGTCAATAAACATTTGTAAATACATCATTTTTAGAAAGAGAACTGTGGTGTTTGTTATAGTGCAGAATGGCCATTCTGGAATCTGTTGTAAACATTATGTAGTATAATAGAGGTGAAATTTCAATGAAACCCCCTCTGTCCTTTGCCCTTCCAAACTAACTGGGAAAATCCCTACCCACTTCCTTTCCTCCCCAGGCCCTCTTTGTCACCAGGAAATATTCTTCAAGCTCTTGTATCTGAACTAAATGGAAGAGTCCATCTATGGGTTTCAGGACTAGCATTAGTCTACATACCAAATAACTTATGTTAAAATAGCAAATTGGTATAGAAAGTGCTTTTATAATGCAATATTGCTGTGAAAGGTAAGGTTTTTTTGACAAGGCGTGTCCTAAATAAATATTGATTAAATATGAAAAAATTATTAAATTATGCATACCTTTTGACTTAGCAATACTAAATAATACAAATATCTATACCCAAATAGGCAAAAGAAGAAGAGCACTCATATGTACAAATATTTATAGCAGCTTTGTTTGTGTGTTTGCAAAGAACTGGAAACTCAGGGGGTGCTCATCAACTGGGGAATGGCTGAACAAGCTATGGTATGTGAATATAATGGAATACTATTTTGCTGTAAGAAATGATGAAGATGATAGTTTCAGAGAAAATTAGGAAGACTTTGTCGACCTGAAAGTTGGTTAAAGAGGCAACAAGCTGGGTAATAAGTAAATTCGTATTGTTTATTCCCTTAAGTTAGCAGCATGTACATGGAGCCAGAGCTTTAACTCTGACTGACTTAAGCCATTTCAAATAGATTATTTATATTCTTAGAGCAATCCTGATTCAGGATGTCTGTGTCATTCAAAAACATATAACCTCTATATGTTTTTAACATATAGCTGGAGAAAGGAAGTTTCTTAGTTGAATAGGTTGTATATATAATAAGACAAGAGAAGTAACAAAGTGTCAATTGAAATTATAATCCCAGGATATCTGTGTTTCCCCTACATAGCATATGTCCGCAGGATACCAAGATAAGAAAAGTCCCACTATTCAAGATAGTGTCTGGTCCCAGGCATCCTATCCTTAGTGATCATAAACAGGAAGTATGCTGGTCAGTTTCATCTGTTCCTGTAGTTGCTGACACAGAAAGGGCATTTTTAGTTTACTCAGAGAGCAGAGCATGCAAAGCATTATGGTAGATTAAGTCCCAAATTGGCCAAAATTTCTCTCCCTGATTGGCCAATTCAGGTTTTAGGCCTTTCTCAGGTGCTGGGGTTCAAAATGATTTGGAGAGGGGTCTACAACTTAGATGAACTGATACAGAGTGAAGTGAGCAAAACCAGGTGAACAATTTATACAATAACATTATTCTAAAAGCAAACAACTCTGAAAGACTTTAGAACTCTGACCAAAGCAATGCTTAACCATGATTCTATAGTACTCTCGATGAAACATACTATACTTCCCAACCGAGAAGTGATGGACACACAGGGCAGATTGAGAGAATTCTTTTGATGGCCAATTGGAGATTTTGTTTTGTTTGACTATATGTGTTTGTTACAAGAGATTTGTTTTTCTTTCTTTCACAATGGGAAGGAGGGGAGATAGAGTAGGAAGGCAGATTTCCATTAAAAATATAATTAAAAAAGAAAAATAATAAACAACTAATTGGCAAATATATATATATGTGTATATATACACACATTTATATATAATATGCATGTGTAGCATCTCATTCCTGTAAGTTTATTACAGAGGTAGACACTACTAAGACAAAGGAATGTGTTTTATCATTTGTTTTCCTGGACTGAGGTTAATCATTACAATTAATTTACATTTGTATGCTTTTTAGTTTTGTTTTCATTTCGATTTTATGGTCATTGTGTATATTGTCCTCCTGATTCTGTAAATTATACTATACAAAAACTCATATGTCTTCCCTTAGTTCTCTGAATTCCTTGGACTCAATTTTGTAATTGTACAATAATATTCCATCCCATTCCATACTATATTTTATTCCCCAATCAATGAGGAACTTTTTTCTTCCATTTTTGATACCATTATAAAAAACTGCCTTGAATATTTACATCTACCAATAAGGAACTGATGGTGAGGCCAAGACCTTGGGCATTTGTACTGTTTTCCTCTCCCTATGGGCCTCTCTCAACTCTGGACAGAAGCATTTAGTCCAGACAAGGTTTAGTTCTGGGGAGTCTGTCCTTGACAATAGACCCCCTTTTCTCACACTCTTCTGACAGTCACTTCCAAGTCTGCATACATCTACCTCAAGAGTGATGTCTGATCACATATTCATATGCTTATTTGTTTGAGCCTATTCTCCATATCAGAGAGAGAGAGAGAGAGTTCGGAGGAATATCATAGCCTATCCCTCCATGCTAGAAGTAGGAAAATAGGGAATAGAATGGGAAAGATTAGGGACTTGGAAGGAATCACATGGAACCTGAGCCTTGAGAGATGAATGGTGTGGGAGGAGTAGGGACACAGGGAACACTGGCTGCTACAAATCAGATGCCAGACTTCTGTTTGTTTTCAAGCGAATAAGTATTAGTGTGTAGCTGATAAAGATTAAACTATATACAATATTGGGCAACTAGGTGGTGCAGTAGATAGAGTGCCAGGCCTGGAGTCAGGAAGACTCATCCTCCTGAGTTCGAATCTGGCCTCAGCCACTTACTAGCTGTGTGACCTTGGGTGAGTCAGATAACCCTGTTTGCCTTAATTTCTTCATCTATAAAATGAGCTGGAGAAGGAAATGGCAGACCATGCCAGTATCTTTGCCAAGAAAACCCCAAATGGGGTCACAGAGAGTCAGACATGACTAAAAACAACTGAACAACAAGCAACAGAAATTTATCATCACCTAAGGGCAGGAGAAAAGTAGAAAGTTGCTTTGACTGTATAAATGTATAAAGCTAATCCTAATTACAGTCATTCATGACAATTGCTGATCATTTATTTCTTATTATAGTCTGAACAATACCTTTTTTGTGGCGATAAGGAGAAATGGAGTGTCAGGGAAACAGATCTATGATTTCACCAGTGAGGGAAGTTATGAAAAATCCCTCTGCTTATGTAGATAGGCAACTCCTCTCTAATAGTCTTAGAGAAGCCTAAAGCAGTGAAAGGTTAAATGATTAACTCATTGTCACTTAGTATGTGTCAGAGGATAGATTTAAGCACAGGTCTTTTTAAAAGTATTAAACAGTATTAAACTCTGTTCATATCTCATTTAGTCAACTAATTAATTAAATGCCTCCTATGTGACAGACACTATGCTAAGCACTGCTGATACAAAATGAGGCAAAACACAGTCCCTGCCTTCAAGGACCTCACAATATAATGGGGGTGATAATAAGCAAACAAATATGTAAGAACAAGCTATATATAAGATGAAAAGGAAATAGCAGAGGGAATTGGGAGAAGCTAAGAAAGCCTTCCTAATTTTGTTCTTGTTTGTTTATGTTACATGTAGCATGGTTGTTTGCTCATGAAACATGGTTACCTGCTCATACTTTAAAATATTAAAAAGGATATTGTACTATAACTTTTATATTTTTTCTGTTTTTTTCTTATAAATGTAACAATTATCAACAAACACAAAATTCATATCTACAAATTAGAAGAGAAAATAGTAAAAATGTAAATTTCTGTCATATAGTTTGTTTTTAAAAGTATATATTAAATTTAACAAAGTAGGAACAAAAATACTGAAGACAATTAATGTTCAGTTGTATCATTTATTACCAGTTTTTCTATGTGAATCCATCCATTTCCTCAGACCTCTAAACTAACCCCTGAAGGTCAGGCAGTTTTTCTGAAGGGCATAATAGAATATAGTAATTACTCTCAGCCTCCAAAGCTTTAGTTTTTAGTTTTTAGTTCCTTAACTAGTTTGGGTCCTTTGTTCTTGAAGAGGACCAGACATCACAAGAGTGTCTTGTGTATGAATTGAATTTAAGTGAGGCAGAGCTGTGCAAAATCATCAGCCTCACTCTCTCCTCCAACAAGCAGAGTCCAAGTGGCAAAACAAAAGTCAATATGACTGGCAATGGCCTAGCCCATTGATAATGGTCTGTATAGAAATACCTAAATGCATTAAGAAATCTCAATTTTTAAAGGGATTCTGCAAAAAATCCTTGTATAATTCAGACTCCATTTGTATTGCACAAAAAAATAATTCTCAATTGTATTGTTTTGGTGAATTTGCAGTTTTGTTTGTCAAATTTTCTTAAAGGGCAATCTTAAAATGGTTACTTTGTTCTGGTCTCTCCAGGAATCAGTCTCTGAGATGAAAGCTGTGGCAGAAGAGCAATTTGGGGAGCTTCATGTAGCAGTCAGGAAGGCCCAGGAAGATGTACTTCTATTTCTAGAAGAGAAGCAACAGGTTTCCCTGAGTCAGGCCAGTGGCATCAAGAAACACCTGGAAAGCAAGTATGCAGAGTTGGAAAACAGCAGGCATGTGCTGGAAAGATGGCCAACATCACCAATAATGTCCTTTTCTTGGAGGTATTACAGTATGGATGAGACAAAAGGATGAGCAAGTTATTAACCTGCCTTCTTCCCTGTGGGCAATTATGAAAGGCTACGATTAGAGTCCTCTGTTCCTCTATTGAGACAATCATATGATTTCTATTGGTTTTGTTATTAATATGGTAGATCCTACTGATAGTTTTCCAAATATTGAACCAGCCTGCATTCCTGACATAAATACCACCTAATCATAGTATATGACACCTATATTGCTGTAATCTGCTTGCTAATATTTTATTTAAAATTTTTGCATCAATATTCATTAGGGAAGTTAGACTATAATTTTCTTTCTCTGTTTTGGCTCTTTGTGGTTTAGGTATCAGCACCATATTTGTGTCATAAAAGGAACTTGATATAACTCCTTTGCCTATTTTTTCCAAATAGTTTATATATTATTGGAATTAATTGTTCTTTAACTCTTTGGTAGAATTCACTTGTGAATCCATCTGGCCCTAGGGATTTTTTTTTAGGGATTTCCTTGATGGCTTGTTCAATTTCTTTTTCTAAGATAGGGTTATTTAAATATTCTATTTCCTCTTCTGTTAATCTGAGCAATTTATATTTTAAAATTTTTTATCCATTTCACTTAGATTGTCAGATTTACTGGCATACAATTGGGCAAAACAGCTCCTAAAAATTGCTATAATTTCCTCTCCATTGTTGGTGAATTCATCTTTTTCATTTTGGATAGTAATTTGCTTTTCCTCTTTTTAAAAAATCAAATTAGCCAATGTTTTATCTATTTTATTGGTTTTTTTCATAAAACTAGCTCTTAGTTTTATTTATTAATTCAATTTTATTAATTTTTCCTTTGATTTTTAGGATTTCCAATTTGGTGTTTAATTAGGGATTTTTAATTTGTTCTTTTTCTAGGTTTTTTTAAAAGTTGCATGCCCAATTCAAGCGTTTAGAGATATACATTTTCCCCTAAGTACTGCCTTGGCTGCATCACATAAATTTTGGTATGTTGTCTCATGGATGTCATTTTCTATAATGAACTTATTGATTGTTTCTATAGTTTATTCTTTGATCTCATTCTTTAGATTTATTTAGTTTCCAATTAATTGTTAGTCTATGTTTTCATGACCCTTTATTGAATGTAATTTTTGTTGCACTATGATTTGAAAAGGATGCATCTAATATTTCTGCTTTTCTAGATTTGGTTGTGAAGATTTTATCCCCTAATACGTGGTCAATTTTTGTGTAGGTGCCATGTACCACTGAGAAAGAGATATATTCCTTTCTGTTCCAATTCATTTTTCTGCAGAGGTCTATCATATCTAACTTTTTAAAAGTTCTATTCATCTCCTCAACTTCTTTCTTGTTTTTTTTTTGTTAGATTATTTAGTTCTGAGAGGGGAAAGTTGAGGTCTCCCACTAGTTTTACTGTCCATTTCCTACTTTGAGTCATTTAACTTTTCTTTTAAGAATTTGGATGCTGTATCATTTGGTGCATATAGGTTTAGTATTGATATTACTTCATTGTCTATGATACCTTTTAGCAAGATGTAGTTTCCTTACTCATCTCTTTTAATTAGATCTACTTTTGCTTTGTCTGAGATCATGACTGTTGCCCTTGCTTTTTTTTTTAACATGAGCTGAAGCATAATAGATTCTGCTCTAGTCCCTTATTTTAACTTTGTGTGTGTCCATCTGTTTCAAGTGTGTTTCTTATAACCAACATATTGTTGGATTTTGGATTTTAGTCCATTCTCCTCTTTGTTTTTGTTTTATGGGTGAGTTCATCCCATTGACATTAACAGTTATGATTACTAACTATGTATTTCCCTCCATTTTATTTCCCCCTTCTTTATCCTTTTCCTTCTCTCTTCTTTTACCCTGTCCCTCCTCAGAAGTCTGTTTTGCTTCTGACAACCACCTCCCCTAATCTGTCTTCCTTTCTATCACCCTCCCCTCTTATTTAATCCTACTTCCCAGTAGGGGAAGATAGATTTCTTTTTTTTAAATTTTTTTAAACATTTCCCCCCCTTTTTTTAGGCAATTGGGGTTAAGTGACTTGCCCAGGGTCACACAGCTAGTAAGTGTCAAGTGTTTGTCTGAGGCCAGATTTGAACTCAGGTCCTCCTGACTTCAGGGCCGGTGCTCTATCCACTGTTCCACCTAGCTGCCCCTGGGAAGATAGATTTCTGCACCCAACTGAGTATATATATTATTCCCTCTTTGAGTTAATTCCGATGAGAGTAAATTTATTATTATTACCCACCACCTCTCCCCATCTTCCTTTACATTCTAAAAACTCTTCCTTTCATGCCTCTTTTATATGAGATAATTTACCCCATTCTACTTCTCCCTTCCCCTTTATCCCAGTGCTTCCCTCTTTCTCACACCTGTGCCCTCTGTCTATGTATACTCCTTCTGTTTTTATAATGAGAAAGTTCTTAGGAGTTACAAGTATCATCTTACCAGTAGGAAATGTATACAATTTAACCTTTTTTCCCCTAATTTCTAAAATGTATATACATAATAAAAAAGAAAAAGAAACATATTATAAATTTAAATATTAAATAAGAAAAGAAAAAATGTCATGTGCACAACAGAACATAGGAGAGGATTCAGAATATATAGCAGTAACTTTCCATTTTAAGAAAGGGTATATGTTTAAAGTGGATGTATTTATATATAGATATTGATATGTACATGCTCATATACACACATACATACATACACACATACACATACACATATACATATACATATATACTTTCTCTAACAGAGTCTACTCCTAATTGTTGTTTAATGTTTGCGTGTATCTCTTTTTTTTCTATCTCTCCTAACTCCTCTACTTTACTTATACTGCTACCTTGCCCTCCTACTACTTAATCTACCCCCCCAAACAATCCCTCCTTTATCCTCCCCTTCCCATAAATCAGAACACCCTTTTGTATATCCCTGTGACCTATTCCTTTACCCTCCTCTTTAAAGATCCCTTCCTTATTCTCCCCCAAATCCCTCCCTTATCCTCCCATTCCCATAAATTGGAACACCCTTCTATATCCCCTTTTTAACCTATTCTCTCACCCTCCCCTCCTTTATCCTCTTCCCCTTCCCTATCCCCTTAGAGTTTCATTCTTTCTAAATTTAAAAGACTTTTATACTCTTCTAGATGTATATGTATTTTTCCCTCTTGAACCCCATTCCCAATGAAAGTAGGTTTCCAGAACTAACAGTCCCCCTCACCCATCTAATTCCTCTATCTTGGTTCTTCCTCTTGAACCTCATTTGTATAAGATAATTACTTTTAGCTGTTCTTGAATGTTTTACTTTTTGAAATCATCATACTCGGGTCTACCCCAATCTTTCTTATAAGCTACCTAATTACTAATAATAATCTTAGACATATGTTTTACATTTTATATACATAAAAGGTAAATAGTCTATCCTTATTGAGTCCCTTGTAATTAGTCATTGGTATGTACCTTATATTTCTCTGGGCTCTTGCATGTCAAATCTTCTATTAAGATTTTTTTAAAACAAAGTCCTGAAAGCCTGACAGTTCATTAAAAATCCATTTTTTCTTTCATCAGAATTTTGCTTAGCTTTGCTAAGTATGATATTTTTGGCCAGAAGCCAAGTTTTTTTGCTCTTTGATAAATAGTGTTCCAAAACCTGTGATATTTTAATGTCACCACTGCTAGGTCTTGTGTGATTCTAATTGTGGTACTGCTATACATAAATTGTTTTTTTTCTTGTTGATCATAATATTTTGTCCTTGAACTGGGGGTTTTGGAATTTGACTATAATATTTCTGTGGGTTTTCCTTGTAGGATCTCTTTCAGGTGATGATTGGTGGATTTTTTCTATTCCTATTTTCCTCTCTTGTTCTAATGCTTCAGGACAATTTTCTTTAATTATTTCTTGTATTGTTGTATAAAGATTCATTTTTTGATAATAGCTTTCAGGTAGTCCAATTATTCTTATATTTTTCTCTTCTTGATCTGTTCTCCAGATCAGTTGCTTTCTCATGAGGGGTTTCACATTCTCTTCTATTTTTTCATTCTTTATATTTTGCTTTTTTATTTCTTGATCTCTTATAACTTTGCTTCCCCTTGCCCAATTCTGATTTTCAAAGAGTCATTTTCTTTCTTAAGATTCTGGATCTCCTTTTCTAATTAGTTGACTTTCTTTTTATAATCTTTTTGTTTTTCTTGTATTGTTCTTATTTTTCTTTTTAGTTTTTCCTCAGTCTCTCTCATTTGATTTTTAAAGTCTTTTTAAAGTTCTTCAGTGAATTATTTTTGGGCAGGTGACCATTTCACATTACCCTTTGGGGTAGAAGAAGGTTTATTTGTTTCAGTATCCTCCTCTGAAGATGAACCCCAGTATTCTCTGTTCCCATAATAGCTCTCTATGGTTGAATTCTTTCTCCTTTGCCTGTGTATGTATTTTTTGGTAGTAGTTTAATTTTTATAATCACCTCTAGTCCTGTGGTATGGGGAATGGTGCCTCTGGCCTCAGATCCTCTTCAGTTCTCCCCTCTCACCTTGAACTCAAACCAAGACCCCCACCCCCTGTAAGTGTCCACAGCCAGCAGCATTGCACCCCACTGCTTCTGCATTCATTGGGAGTGTGCTGGTTCCTTCTCGCCCCCACTGCATCTCCACAGCAAAGCTGGGTCTGGCATTCTTTGTCAGCAGGGGTTCTCTAAATCTTCCCCAGCTCAGATGCCCAACTCTCCTCACTGTCCAGGGGGTAAAAATTCCTGTGGCTGGGGCTGAGGCAGCCTTCCAGCCCCGCTAACCCTAGGGCTTGATGCTTGTTGTTTAAGTGGTCCCTAGCAAAACCTTGTCCTAGGATTTTTCTTTAGATCTTCTCCAATTGTCCCAGGAGGACCCCTGTTCTACCCCTACTCTTATTTATTTTTACCACTCTATATTCACTCTGAGGTGTTGTTTTATCTATTTTGTGGAGGAAAATCTTGAGAGCTTGAAATTTTCTGATCTACTTTGCCATCTTCC